CACAGATTCTTAGATATATCACCAAATGAATAAGCAACAGAAGAAATAAATAGATAAACTGGACTTCATCAAAATCAAAGGCATGTGTGCATTAAAGGACATTATCGGAAAGTGAAAAGACAACCAGAATGGGAGAAAATATTTGCAAATCATATATCTGATAGGGGGCTCGTATCCAGAATATATAAAGAACTATTACAACTCAACAAAAAGATGACCCAATCTAAAAATGGACAAAGGATTTTAATATATATTTCTCCAAAGAAGATAGAAAATGGCCAACGAGCACATGAAAGATGCTCAACATCATTAGTTAATAGGGAGATGCAAACCAAAACCAGAATGAGATACCCCTTTATACCATCTAGGAAGGCAATAATAATAATTTTTAAAATAGAAAATAACAGTTGGAGGATGTGAAGAAACTGGTACTCTGTTCGTTGCTGGTGGGAATGTAAAATGGTTCAGCCTCTGTGGAAGACAGCTTGGTGGTTCTTCAAAAAGTTAAACATAGAATTTCCACATGATCCAGCAATTCAACTCCTGGGTATGTACCAAAAAGTAATGAAAAAGGTACTCAAACAAATATATGTAGACCTAGCTTTATTGCAGCACTACTGACAAGAGCCAAAAGATAGAAACAGCCCAGAAGTCCATCGATGGATAAATGGATAACCAAACTGTGTTATATACACACAATGAAATATTTTTCAGCCATTAAAAGGAAGGAAGTGCTGATACATGGTATCATGCAGATCAATCTTGAAAACATTATGCTAAGTGAAAGAAGCCAGACACAAAAGGTCACACATTGTATGATTTCCATTTACGTGCAATATCCCAAATAGGTAAATCCATAGAGATAGAAGTGAATGTAGTTGCCAGCGGCAGGGTGGAGAAGGGGATGAGAAGAAATTGTTTAATGGGTAGGTTTTATTTTGGGGTGACGGAAATGCTTTGGAACTAGCTAGAGGTGCCTGGGATTGCACAATACTGCGAACGTACTACATGCCATTGAACTGTTCACTTCAAAATGGTTGGTTTTATGTTATGTGAATTGCACCGTAATTTTTAAAAAAAAAAAAACTGAAGCTACTCGGAAATGTCAAATTATTCACAATCTCCACTCACCCCATGGACCCCAAATCCTGGAATCACAACTCTTTAGGCCATTTCTCTGGTCTTCGGTAGCAAGTTCATCCTGCTCAATTTTATCCAGAGTTCCCTGTGGTTCTGAAGCTCTAGAAAACAGACAGGGAAAATTCTCGTGATGCTAGCTCACACCAGGCCACTACTGCTCCCATAATGTGAGTAAACCCTTCCTCGAGGGTGCGTGGGTGGTGAGGGAGATGCAAAGGGATCTAAAACGACGAGAAATGAGACCTGTCACCAAGCAAATGCGCTACCGCCCCATGGTGCCGCCAGGCCACCGTCAGGTTAATATCAGGGCCCTGTCCCTAGTGCTGACCTCCCCGGGGACGTGATATGCGCCAGGCCGGGCCCCTACCTCCTCCTGCGCGCTGGGGCTCCGGCTGCCGCGCCACCAGGGCGCCGGAACGTTGTG